GTGAAAAAATAAAAATAGAATAAAACGCCGCTTTATCTAAAAAAATATTCGAAAAGCGCTTCGATATTTTAAACCAAAATAACACAAAAAGTGTGCCGACTTAAGATCAAAATATGTGCTAAACTTCAAATAAATATCTCTACAATCACCGGAGTTATCAATAAAAATCATTTTTTAAATTTTAGTTTTGACATCCTGTATTTTGAAGATGGGCTCCGAAATGAAAAGTGACTTTAGAAGAGTCCCATTATTTTAGTATTAAGAATATGTGGTTAACGAGTTGACCTACCAATTTGTAACACCCTGTATAATATGTAGGTATTTTTATTTAATTTGCAGCATTAAAAAAATAAAATCTTAATATCGAAACATGATTATTTACTGAAGTTAAGGTAACAATTAGAATTGTATACAAATTCAACAAAAGAAAAAAAATATTTGTTTTCAATTAAACATTTTTTATTTTCCAAAGTTGACTCGAATCTTAAATATGATTTTTATAGTATGTAGAATTTATATTTATAGTACCTATGGAGAAACTCAGAAAATATAATATAATAGGTCCTATATCAAAACACTTCGAATCTACTGCAAGTTAAATAAAAAATTTAATTATGACAACTTTAGAAACAGTATTATTATAATGAATTGTAAAATTTACTATACAGTACGCGCCTAAAGTATGGAATAAATTCAGTAAAAACGAAACAATTTTTTTTTGGGAAAAATCCTCGAACAGGTCGATTTTTAATTTAAAAATACATATTTTAGCATAAAAGGCGATTTTGAAGTCATTTGTTTTCGAGTAATGACGTCATAGACACTTTTTTAAATAGCAACCCCCTATTTTTTTTCTTGATTCTGAAAGATCGTTTCATTGTCGATCCGACAGTATTAAAATGTTGCCATCTTACATAGGAAAGTTTTCGAATTATAATAATTATAATGTAAATTAGGAATGTTAATCATATTAGTTTAATTGGTATTAACCATGTCACTGTCGACTTTACCATCTGATCTATTTCAACTATTTTTTATAGCTACAGGAAAAACTTCTAGAACAGTCTACTAAAAAGTTTTTGTAAAATAACTTAAGATTTAGGCGTATTACATAGTTTCCAAGAAAATTGTAAACATTAAATTTAGTAATTCGCTGTAATTCTCTAACGTGCAATTTTTCTTTCCACTTTTGAGTTTCAAGTTTTAACGAATGTTAATTTCTTGAACTCAATATAAGGTTCTTTATCTGAGCCGTCCAATTTCTACTTTATCGGCGGCCGACAAGTTAAAATGAACTTATCTGATTTAAGTTAAAAAAAGATTTTCGTAAATGAGCCGATTTACTTGAGAGGTGCGATCGTGCGCGACTTCAAAAAAACGTTCCCTTTTCAATAGTACAACTTTAATATCCAAAGATAGCCCTCTTTTAGATGGAAATTGCTTTTTCTACCTACATTTTTATAAGCCATAAATAAGGAAGTAAGGGTTGAAATTGATTCCGATCCAAATCTGGACATTTAAATTCAACAGAACTGAAGATAACGCACTATTATCAAATATAATATTTATGTTATAATTTTTAGTAAAATTAAGAGTTTTATACAGGGTGCCCCGTTCATATTTCAAAAAAAAACATGTGCGCAAGTTCCTCATGGAAAAATAATAGGGGTAGTTCATGTAAAGTGTTTTTCTTAGACGCCCTGTTTTTGAGATACAGTGTGTTGAAGTTGTTACTTTCCAAATGGTTTTCCTTAATTATCTTTAAATCGGCTAAAGATAAAAATGTCAAAATTTGTACACGAGTAAACATCAACTGTTCGTTAAAAATAATGTACAACGATTTCTTTCTGAAAAGCAGTGTCGCCGATGCAGGTAATTGGAGGGATGCAATCGAAAAAGAAAATGTTAAAAGTCAAAATTTATTACATTTCTAAACGGTTCTGTAAAAAAAGGTGGTATACTTGTCGAAATTCGGTAGCATGTACTATTTTCGAGAAAAATTAAGTTGCATAGAAGAAAATGGGGGACAATTTCAGTATCTATTGTAGTATTTCGAGTTTGCACATCTATTTAATTGTGCAGCTGTTTTGTTCTGTATGTCTCCGAGTCTGTTTCCTAGTATTTTTCTGTTTTTATCACTTCTTTTAAGCATTCATGTTCATCAACAGTTCAGTCCATTCAACAATTTAATTGTTTATTTTAGTAATGGTTAGTGTAGTAGTTTACAAAATCTAAAATTAGTTAATAATAGATAATTAATTACCATAATCTGTTTATTTTGATTTACTTTTTTAAATGTTAGTTTACAACAAACTGAAACTTAAAATAAATTTTAATTTTTTTTAGTTAATAAAATGTTTAACAATTTAACTGTTTCATGTGATACGTATAAGAAATTAAAATTATAGTCTTAAATGCAAATACTGTTGGTAGCTAAATGTCTTCAGCTCATTCAATGGTAAGGTCCTTTTTCAATTTAATATTTTGTTGATGTACTTCTGCCGCTTTATGTGAGCAAAAAAATTTAACTTCATTTTTCTCGAAAATGGTACCTGCTACCGAATTTCGACAAGTATACCTTTTTTTTGTAGTATCCTTTAGAGTTTACAGAACCGTTTAGAAATGTAATAAATTTTGACTTTTAACATATTTTTTCTTCGATTGTACCCTTTCAATTACCTGTATCGGCGACACTACTTTTCAGAAAGAAATCGCTTGCACATTATTCTTAACGCACAGTTGATGTTTACTCGTGTACAAATTTTGACATTTTTATCTTTAGCCGATTTAAAGATAACTAAGGGAAACCATTTGGTAAGTAACAACTTCGACACACTGTATCTCGAAAAAAGGGCGTCTAAGAAAAAAACTTTACATGAACTACCCCTATTATTTTGCCACGAGAAACTCGCACACACGTTTTTTGGAACATGAACGGGACACCCTGTATATGTTTTGCTTTAGTCTGTAGAGATTTAATAATTGTTTTCTAGAAATAACTGCTTTTCCAATGTTTAGTGTTAAACCTAGTCCATAGATACAAATAATTTTCACTTTAATCAAATGTGTGATGAAAAAATAAAAACATTTGCGCATAAACAAAACAAAACGACAGTGAAATATGTTATGTTGGAGCCCTGAAAATTTTTCTGAGAAAGTTGAAAATAAATATGCTGGAATCCAATTTTTTTTTAGAACGACACTCGATTAGTTATGTCCATACAAAATACAAAATTTAGACTTGCAGTACTCTGAATTTTTTCATGTTCGTAAACAAACATCTCCACACTAGTTCTTTGCGTTCCTTCATCGATGGAAAACAAAGAACACGTGCATTTGTACACGTTTACAAACAGTTAGGTACACAGTTTTTATACATGTTTTTTTATGTAGACCTGGACTAGACTTTAACATAAACAATATCCGTTCATCGAATTTGAAATTCAAGACAATGACGAATTCTAAATGAAGTACATTCTCTGTTGGCTTTCCATGTAAACAACTAAATAAAACTGTAGGCTGAAGATGAAAAATAAACATCATGACATCAAACAAACATCATTTTGTGTCATCAAAAACATCAGGAAATAAATTAAAGAAGCAAAAAATTTCGAATTCTTTTCTGATTTTTTAAAGCTTGTTATTTGAATAATGGTCGTAAAAAATTTTTTCATCTCAAGATTTCAAAACTAGAATCTTCAGGCTTCAAAAATGGTTAAAAAAAATTTGAAATTTTTTCTGCCTCTTTATTATTTTTTTGCTGAGTACATACCACAAGACATGATCTAACGTTAATAATTTTTATTGCATTAAGTATATCTCCTACAATAGCTAACCGGAAAATAGTTTTGTGAAATCTGGTCTCCCGGAAATAGAAAAAGAATACATTTCCTGTAAAATAAATACGGCTCAAAAGGAACATTTTCTATTGTGTTTACATTTAATTAAAAGTTGTATATGAGATGAGAACACAAGCCTTTCAGGATAAAAATTGCTTTTCAAATTAGAAGATAATCTATGACCAAATCAGGAAACGTTTCTAATTAAAAAAGTGAGACAAAGAATTTTAACTGGGATGGAAATGTGGTCCTTATTGTATTCAACAAAATGTTACTTAAAAAGGGTTCAATTTGAGTTGGGAGATCGGAATTTGAATTTTATAATTGCAAATATTAGACAAATATGTATTTGATGCAAAAATCTGAAGAAATTGCAAGTTCCAGACTTTTAATCATGATGTTCTGATTTCCGTTCCCAATAAGTTTTTTTTGTGTTTACAAGGAAAACCAAAGTACTTTTTATACAGACATTTGCTTAAGGTTTTTTTTTTCATATTAATCACTAATGTTCTGCTAAATTATGGAAAAGGAGGAACATCTAAAAAATCAATGTAAAATGTATTTCGAAACAGTTGCTATCTATGCTTATTTTGGAGATTTAAACACTGCACTGAAAAGATATCGATATCATCGACAATCACACTGATAAATTCTATATGCTCAGTTATTCTTTGCAAATTTTGGAATAGCCATAATGAAAGCACTAATCTACCGTAGATACAGGCATTGCTAATTAAATTTCACAATGAAAAATATTCTTAATTTAAAACAGTTTACTTATCTTCGCACATCTTAAAATCCACGACCTTCTAGATGTACTAGTAAGATAACAATTACATTAAGCAAAAGGCTTCTATAGCACAAAATACATCACTTTTAAAAAAATCACTTATTACCATATTTTCACATTAAATGAGACGAAGTAACTTGCAAAATATAACTAAACACACTAATTTTTCTATTTAATATAAAATTTTTGATAATTATTGAATAAAATATTTTCTTTTGAATAAATTAAAGAATACCAACTGTTGCTTGATAACATATCAAGGTCTACGTTTTAATTGTTTCTTAAATATAACCGCGACATACCGCAAATCTTTATTACTTCCTTTTCCAGAATATAGCATGAACTAAACGTTAAAGCCGACAGAATTGTACCTATCAAAGTAATGTGCACTGGCAACACTTGCAACAGGTCGCGAACTGTTAGAATCCGTATTTTCACGCACGACTATGTTCTAAGTTTGCGAGACCGCCAGCCTAAACTAACAATGCATTTTACTACATCTTTTTATATAGTAAATCTTCAGGGAGAGACTTGACTTGGTCTTACATTAGTCATGCATGTGATCACCCTGTGTAAATGACGTTTACGGAAAATTGCTTGTTCTTCGCGTTACTCGGTTTTGGAGTATGGCCAGTACATCACATTTGACAAAAGACTAAAGTTCCCGTCAATTTCTTAGTATGCTAATCGAAAATGTTTGGGAAGGTGTCGTTGAAAGTGACTGATATTTTTGTATACAAATAAAATTAAAACTCACAAAATGTTTGAAGAAAAATACGAGAATAACTGTAACAATATGGAAGCTAGAAATCTAAAATATAATTTAAAATTATAACTAATAATGGTACACTATTAAAAACTAGAACAGAAAGTTTTTATTTAAAAACATTATTGATATTTTTCAGTTTCAACAACTAATTTTCCATATTTAAAATCAAATAACGAGCGTTCAAATAAAAACGTGGTAAAGTTGGTTCTGAAAATTTGGACGTAGGGCGTAGCGTATAGCAAATGAACTTAAACGTCATCTGTCAAAGCGCTATATCGCCGCTATCAATTTGAAAAAAGCGTTTAAAATGGTGTTTTCTCAAGAACAAAAAATGTTTATCATAGAGTCCTACTTTAGAAATGGACGCAAGATTGATGGAATATGGAAGTATTCTATTGAGGAATGTTTCATTGAATTTCAAAATCAATTTCCCGGCGTTGTTGAGTACAAAATTTTTCAAAGTGCAGTTCAGCGTTGCGTTAATGTTTTTCGTGAAACGGGCAGTGTAACAAGAAAAGAAGGAAGCAGCCGACCTAAAAAGCGGACTGAAGAATTAAAAGAAAATGTCCAACAAATAATGGAAAATGCGCCAAGAACTTCTGTACGTGTTTTATCACAAATGGTGGGAGTATCAGTCGGTACCTGCCACACAGTGTTAAAAAAAGATTTGCGTTTGTTCTCCTATCGTTTAACTTGTCAGCAAGAATTTCATGAAGTTGATTTTCCGCGACGGGCTGTATTTTGTGAATGGTTTTTAAACAACTACGGTGAACTTCATAATATCACCTCTTTTTCTGATGAAGCCTGGTTTCATTTAAGTGGTTAAGTAAACTCACAGAATATGAGAATGTGGTCTTCTGAAAAACCAGATAACTTTTTTGTCGAGGGCCCTCTACACGCTCAAAAAATTGGAGTTTGGTGTGCTCTCAATCGAAGGAGGATTTATGGACCTATTTTTTTTAATGGTACTCTTACTGCGCAAAGGTATAGAGAAGAAATTATCGCTCCTTTTGTTAACCAGCTGGAAGAAAACGAAATTACAAACTTTTACTTTCAACAAGATGGCGCAAGGGCACATACGGCAGGCGAGACGATGAATATGTTGAGGGAAGTTTTCCAAAATCGACTAATAAGTCTCAATGCTGAACATGAATTTCCACCGAGGTCATGTGATATTACGCCGTGTGATTTCTTTTTGTGGCCTTACCTTAAAAACACTATTTTTGGACTGCCTATTCCTGATTTAAACCATCTGCAGGCTCGACTTATAGACAAGATTCGTGAAATTAACAATACCCGAGCATCTTAGAAAATGTCTTTAATTCTTTGAGGAACAGGTGTGAAAAGTGCTTGGAACAAGGAGGGGGACAGCTGCTGTACAGCTCGTTGACAAATGAGGTTAAGTTGGTCGCTATAAGCTACTCCCTACGTCGAATGTGTCAGAGCCAACTTCGACCACGTTTTTATTTGAACGCTCGTTATAAAGAAAATTAAAACTTTAAACAGTTCAGTTACAATTTTTTTTCCTTTTAAGAAACATTTTCTTAGATCGACGATCTTAAAAGCCTCCACCAAAATGGTGTATTATTTTTTATAGTTTTAATGAGGAAAAACACTAATGTGTTTTATAATAATTCCATCTTTTTTTAAACAAGAAATTTCTTATAAATGAGCAATATTATGGTCCGCAAGAAGTCCTGTAGTTCTTGCTATGGGAAAATCAAAATCAAAACTTTTGTGACTTATGAATGAGGTGGATAACATTGGGGATTGTCTTTTGTTTACAACAAAATTATCGGACACTTTTTTAATAAGATATTTTTCCAAGAATTTAAAGTGAGTTTACCAGAGAACAAAACTAGTTTCATGGCAACCATGGCACACCTTTGTTCATTGTGGAGGGTCAGTAAATAAATCAAAATATTAAGGAAATATATGATATGTATATTATATAGGTACTTATTGTTGTAATCAGAAAAACAGAAGAATCCAAAATACGATAAATACACACTTAAAAGACCGCAAGTTCAGTTTGTATCTCAGAAACGCTACATTCAATTGTTTTTATGTATTAATTATCGATTCGGCTTTTATTTCCTCTATCGAGTCGAAATGATGTCCACGGAGTGGTCTTTCGGGTTTAGGGAATAGCCAGAAGTCACTCGGTGCTAAATCAGGCCAATTCGGTGGTTGCGGAATGTTGGGATGCTTCGGTTAAACCCACAACAACCTTCCAGGAATCAAGGACCCTGTACCTACGAATTAGTGCGGTCAGTTACCTTAGTGTCTGTTGTCCTGTGTGGAACTAAAAATAGTCGGTAAGAATCGTAACTGCTAAGGATACGCCATAAATTTTACACATCCATAGATCTTTACATTTATTGTACAACACATTCTTTTTAGTCTTTGTACCACTTGTAAACATATCCTCAACGTTTTTGCGGCAGAATATTCATACCGCAAACATTTAATGCAAATTCTTTGCTCAACAAAATCAGACATAGTGCGATTACAAAAACAGCAATTGAATATATCGACTTGATAACAAGGACCCAACCTACAAAAAATAATTGTATGCTTTCATAATGGGTCGGTCGAAATATCCACGAAATATTAAATTGACTTATTGAATAAACTACAAATCTGAATAAGACTTACAAAAAGAAAACGTTAGATTCATAAGTTGCGTAAACGTGAAAATTAAACGTTATTAAAATTAGTGAAAATTCAACAAAATGTAATTATTTAAGGTGTCAGTACTTAAATCGATGTGTGCTAATTCTGCCCGGGTTCTATTTCCGCGGCCGGTAGACCGTAAATTAGCTATGCTTGTACGGAGGATTGGCACTCTCTGTGCAGGTATGGTAGGATGAAAAAATGTTGGCTTGGGTCAATGTGAGAGATTGACACCGGTTGGCATTTGACAACCCCCCTAATTAATAAGGTTTTCTAGGTTTCCCTCATTCCTGCACTAAATGGTGGTTAGGGCCTACCAACATAAGTCGTTCCTGGGCGCAAATGCGGCTTGCTTAATAATAATAATATGCCGCCTCCTCTCCCGCACAAGTCTCCGACTTCTGGGCTAATTCTCGCGGTTAGAATGAGGGGTAGCGATATTATTATTATTATAATAATACCAGCAAATTTTGAACAAGTAATTCACCTTATTTTTTGAACACAGTTGTTATTACAATTGACATTTACATTTAATTATTGCTAAATATTCATATTTTTTTTTTCATTATTCAGATTATTGCCATCTGAATTGTTTACTGTTCTGCCTGAACAATTAGAAGTGCAATTATTCTTCTTTTACATTTTCCAAGTAAATATAGTAAATAAAATTAATACAACAAGATTATATCTAAAATTTATATTTTTTCATGGTAAAACTTTTTCAAATATTTCTAGTTTTAAATTTGAGATTCTATACCAGATTTATTTTATTTTTTTGTTTATACTGTTAATCAGCATTATTCCCATTGTTGCAATGGTTATTTACTTACTTTCAATGTACCTTCCTTCTTTAGAGCTAATTCTGCTCTGTTAATAAAAATTTAATTTATATTTAGAAAAACTAAAAGTAACTAATTTTTAGCAATTCTTTTTCTAGTTTACTACAAATTTCACGAAGTTTTCCCACTCTTGAGTGTTTAGGTTGAAAAAATATAAAAAGTACAAAAACTACACGTCACTGTACTATTAATATGGAAATTTTAAAATAAGATATTTGTCAATTTTTGTTACAATTTACACTGATCCACATTTGTAACAAAAACTAAAAGTAACTAATTTTAAGCAATTCTTTTAATAATTTACTACAAATTTTACGTAGTTTTCCCACTTCTGAGTGTTTAGGTTGAAAACATATAAAAAGAACAAAAACTACATGTCACTGTATCTACTATTAATATTATGGAAATTTTAAAATAAGACATTTGACAATTTTTTGTTACAATTTACACTGCTGCCCATTTGTAATAAATGAATATTCATTAAATTAATTTTTTTGGCATTTTTTTTTTCATTTAGCTACTTAAACGTCAAATTTGGATTTGGTAAGCGCAAAGTGTATAAGAACGATTTGTATCAATATTGTTACAATTAACACAGGTTTACTCTACAAAAAAAATATTTAGAAAAACTAAAAGTAACTAATTTTCAGCAATTCTTTTACTAATTTACTACAAATTTCATGTAGTTTTCCCACTCCTGAGTGTTTAGGTTGCAAAAATATAAAAAGAACAAAAACTACATGTCACTGTACTATTAATATTATGGAAATTTTAAAATAAGACGTTTGACAATTTTTGTTATAATTTACACTGATCCACATTTGTAACAAATGAATATTCATTAAATTTATTTTCTTGGCATTTTCTATCACTTAATTATTTAAAAGTCAAATTTGAATTTGGTAAGCGCAAAGTGTATAAGAACGATTTGTATCAATATTGTTACAATTACAATTAACGAGAAAAAAATATTTAGAAAAACTAAAAGTAACTAATTTTCAGCAATTCTTTTACTAATTCACTACAAATTTCACGTAGTTTTCCCACTCCTGAGTGTTTACGTTGGAAAAATATAAAAAAGGTACAAAAACTACATGTCACTATTAATACTATGGAAATCCCTAAATACTTAATGTGGGTGAATGTGGATTGCAGAATTTGCTTCTCTTTGGTCATAT